GGTAGTCAGTTGTTGGTCAGCCACTTCTGCCTGCTTTCCCTTTGTTCCCCCTTTCCCTTTCGTTTGCTCTTTTTTGTCTGCAAATATATCCTTCCCTGTTGCCTGTTTTTGGCTTCGCTTCCGCTTTGCAAGAGCAGGTTTGGCTGACAACCTTGCCGACCTCCTCTTGGGCTCCTCCTTGGCCACCCCCTCAGCAGAACTGACCTTCCTCCTGGGCATCCTGGCAGCAGGGCAGGCACATGCTGGTTGCCTGAAGGCTTGGGCTGCCTCAGGTACAACCCCTAGATGGGGAATTGAACCCTAGACACCTCTGTGTGGGGGCTGATGCTCTAACCCCTGAGCGACACTGGCCAAGGCTACCATAGCTTTTTTATCCATCCACCTATGGTGGGCACTTGAGCAGCTATCAGATCTTTTCTTTAAAAAAATTTTTTTTAAACATTTTTGTATTGATATAGAAAGAGAAAGGGAGAGGGAGAAACAGAGAAACATTGATGTGAGAACAAGACATCTATCTGCAGCCTTCTGCACGCCCCCTCCTGGGGATCCAGCTCACAATCTGGGCATGTACCCCCACTGCAAATGGAATGGCTAATCCGTTGGTACACAGGATGACACTGAACCAACTGAGCCACACCGGCCAGGCTTGCTGCTTCCAAATCTTGTCTATCCTATCTAATAAAGCGGGAATATGCTAATTGACCATCATGCCATCACAGAGATGGCGGCACTCACAGCCAATAAGGAGGGAATATGCTAATTGACTGTCACACATTCAAAGATGGCGGTGCCCACAGCCAATAAGGAGGGAATATGCTAACCCTCAAAGATGGTGGTGCCCACAGCCACAAGATGGCGGCGCCCAGTCCCCTCAGCCCCTACCTGCCTCCGGAGTCCCCCAGTCCCCTCAGCCCCTTAGCCACCCAGGGCCGCCTGAGGCTCAGGTAACCAGGGCTGGCCGAGGCTTGCGCTGCTGGCAGTGGCAGCAGCAGAGGTGTGATGGGGTGTTGCCTTCCTCTGATCACCGGGTCACCTCCTGCCCCTGAGGGCTCCCAGACTGTGAGGGGGCAGGCCAGGCTGAGGGACCCCCCTCCAGTGCATGAATTTTCATGCACCAGGCCTCTAGTTAAAAATAATGCTACAATGAGTATAGGGGTGCATGTTTTCTTTTGTATTGGTGTTTTGGGGTTTCTTTGTATATATTCCCAGAAGTGGAATCTCTGGGTCATGAGGCAGTTCCATTTTAAATTTTTTGAGGAAACTCCATACTGATACTTGTCAACTGGATTTATTGATGATGGCCATTCTGACAGGTGTGAGGTGATTTTTCAGTGTAGTTTTAATTTGCATTTCACTGATAATCAGTGACTTTTAGCATTTTTCATGTCTATTGGCCATCCCTATGTTCTCTTTGGAGAAGTGTCAATTCAGGTACTTTGCATATATATATATATATGCAAAGTACCTGAATTGTATATATTCAGGTGTATATATATATATACTATATATATATATATATATATAGTATATATTGTATATACATACATACATACAGTGGGGCCTTCACTTACGAGTGTCCCAACTAATGAGTTTTTTGAGATACAAGCCGTCTCTCGGCCGATTTATTGCTTTTAGTTGCGAGCTAAAATTCGGGTTACAAGCCAGCTTCAGATACCCCACCGCTAGTTGGCGCAGCGAACGACACAGTGAACGCCACAACATCAGCCCAGCATCACGTGTCTCACTCATTCACTTTTTGATTTGACATACGAGTAATATGAGTTATGAGCTCCATCACGGAACGAATTAAACTCGTAAGTCAAGGTCCCACTGTATATATATAGATAGATAGATTGTATCCCCAGTGCCTGGTATATTGCCTGGCAAGTTGTAAGTATGCAATCAATATTTGTTAAGTATGCTGGGTTCTTTTTGTGTTATTTCCTTTTTTAACAAAAATTCTCTCCAGATATGTTTTTTATTGCTTTTGGACAAATAGGAAGGGAGAGGGAGAGAGAGATACATCAATTAGTTGCCTCCCATATGCACCCCAACCAGCAATCTAACCTACCACTGGGATATGTGCCGTGACTGAGAAGCGAACCCACAAACTTGTGGTGTACAGGACAGTGTTCCAACCGAGTCACCAGGCCAGGGCTGCCCATTTTTTAATTGGATTGGCCATCTATATGCCCTCTTTAGAGACGTGTCTATTCAGGTCCTTTGCTTATTTTTTAATTGGATTGTGGGGGGTTTTGGTGTTGAGTAGTATAAATTTTTGTTGTTGTTAATCCTCATCTGAGGAATATTTTTCCATTAGTTGTTTGTTTTTTTAGAAAGAAGGGAAGAAGGAAGAGAGAGAAACATCGATTGGTGTGAGAGACACATTGTTTGGCTGCCTCCCACACACACTGATTGGGTCAGGGAACAAACCTGAACCCGAAATCCAGGTACATCCCCTTGACCGGGAATTGAACCTAAGACACTAACCAATGAGCCATAGTGGCCAGGGATTGTATACGTTCTTTATACATTTTGGGCAATTAACCCCTTATCAGACATTTCATTGTGGAATATGTTCTACCATTCAGTTAGTTGTCTTTTTATTTTGTTGGTGATTTCCTTTTAGTTTGATATAGTCCAAATTGTTCATTTTTCTTTTTTCAAAATATATTTTTATTGATTTTTTTTACAGAGAGGAAGGTAAAGGGATAGAGAGTTAGAAACATTGATGAGAGAGAAACATCCATCAGCTTCCTCCTGCACACCCTCTACTGGGGATGTGCCTGCAACCAAGGTACATGCCCTTGACCAGAATTGAACCTGGGACCCTTCAGTCCACAGGCCTACGCTCTATCCACTAAGCCAAACCAGTTAGGGCTGTTTATTTTTCTTTTGTTTCCCTTTCCAGAGGAGATATATCAGAAAAAAATATTGCCAGGAGAAATGTTCGAGATTTTACTGCCTATGTTTTCTTCTAGGATTTTTATGATATCAAGTCTTACATTTAAGTCTTTAATTCATTTTGAGTTTATTCTTGTATATGACATAAGAAGGTGGTCTAATTTCATGTTTGGCATGTATCTGTCCAATTTTTTCAACACCATTTATTGAATAGACTGTCTTTATCCCATTGTATGTTCTTGCCCCCTTGTCAAATATTAATTGACCATATAGGCATGAGTTTATTTCTGGGCTCTGTATTCTGTTCCATTGATCTATCCGTCTGTTTTTATGACAGGGTTTTTTCTTTTGTATGTTTTAAAAAGCTGGTCTAGTTTCATTTTTTTTTTTTTTGCATGTATCTCCCCAATTTTCCCAACACCATTTATTGAATAGACTAAAGTAGTCTATTCTTTGTATGCTCTTGCCTTCTTTGTCAAGTATTATTTGACCATAAATCCATGGGTTTATTTCTGGGATTTCTGTTCTGTTCCATTGATTTTCGTCTGTTATTATGCCATTACCATGGTGCTTTGGTTACGATGGCCTTGTAGTATAATTGAATATAAGGCAGTGTGACTTGTCTAGCTTTGTTGTTCTTTCTCAAGATTGCTGTGGCTGTTTGGGGTATTTTGTGGTTCCATATGAATTTTTGGAATATTTGTTCTAGTTATGTGAAGCATATGATTGGTATCTTGATAGGAATTGCATTGAATGTATAAATTGCTTTGGGTAGTATGGACATGTTAGTGATATTAATTTTTCCTATGCATGAACACCATATATGTTCCACTTAAAGTTTACATTTCAATTATAATTTACATTTAATTTTATTTTGTATTCATTTCAGGTGTAGAACATAGTGGTTAGACAAAGCTTTATAAATGTTCCCCCTGATATTTTTAATACCCCCCTGGCACCTTATGTATTTTGTAATCATGCCAATTCAACATGAAAATATTATGGATTGCAGTGAAGGCCATTGTACATGTCAAGTCTTAAATTGTGCCTCAAGGTCAAGGCCCAGCTTACAGTGTTACAGTTTTGCTGCAAAGACTTTTCTTTTGTGTGATCTATGTGTCCTAAAAATTTGTATTAAGTAGCCCTCAGGCTCATGAGTGGGAGGACTTTTGTAGAGTCTAAGTTGCCCTGCTTTCCTCATGCCTAAGTTCTAACTCTGATAACTTCTTAGCTCCATGAAATGAGACAGGCAAAAGAAGGTCAAACTGAGTCAGAAATAAATATTATATAAACAAATGATAATTCATACTTCTCCAAAATAATATTTTCATTCAACCAGGTAGAGCTAAACACTTACAATAATCTGGAGTACTTCAGGATGATATGACCAATTACATTTTGTTACAAGTTGAATTTTCACATACCTCCTGGCCTCTCGTGTTTGGTAATGAGAATAGAAGAAAAAGCTTCTAGCCTGGCCGGCATGGCTCAGTGGTTGAGCATCTACCTATGAACCAGGAGGTTATGGTTTGATTCCCAGTCAGAGCACATGCCTGGGTTGTGGGCTCCATCACTAGTGTGGGGTATGTAGGGGGGCATCTGATCAATGATTCTCTCTCATCATTGATGTTTTTATCTCTCTCTCCCTCTCCTTTCATCTCTAAAATCAATAAAACATATATTAGAAAAAGAAGAAAAACCTTCCAGGCCTTTATTGTATTCATAGTCATTAAAACGTTATACAGATATGATAGTGTGCTTCCTGGAATGCTGCATCATATGGTGGTTCTGAAGGAGATCAGTTTTCTCACCAGAAATTGATGTACTTAAAATAGACATATTTTGTTATCTTTTTCAAAGTGCTCTTTACCCTGACATTAGAGAGCAATGAAGTGATCACAATAAAAAAAACCACATGGCAATAATTCCATGTGTTCATGAGGAAGTAAGTGTGGCCAATAAATAATAGTCTGACACCCAAGTCATAGAATGAATGTTGGGGGGCACATGTCATATGTGAACTTATGAGTTATATATAGATCTCCTGTGCTATCTGTCTCATCCTTCCTCCTGTATACGTATGGGGGATGTTTTAGGACACAGTGGCCTTTGAGGATGTTAATGTGGAGTTCACCATGGAGGAGTGGGCTTTCCTGGATCCCGAACCAGAAAAAACTGTACACAGATGTGATGCAAGAAACCTTCTGGAACCTGGCATCAGTAGGTAGTGATCACACCTTCTTACTTATTTAATCAATTAGAAAACAAATGTTGCTTGCTCATCAATATTGTTTTAAGAACTGAAATGTGGAAAGGGGAATGAATACATTGATAAACTGGGCATTGTCACAGCTCATTGTGTACCTGAAATCTAATCATTTTTTATATTCTTTAATAGTTTATAATGCTTTTTCTAGCATGTATTTTGGAAGAAAAATGTGAAGAACATGACAGTGAAGATCAGTATGAAAATCATGGGATGAGTCTTAGGTGAGTCGCATTGACATGAGAAAGCATTAAGAGCATCATTGCTTTTTAAAAAAATATGTTTTTATATATTTATTTTCTTTATTTATATATTTAATGTTTTTTTAATTTATTTAAGAAAGGGAGAAAGAGAAACATCAATGATGAGAGAGAATTATTTAAGGCTGCCTCCTGTATGCCCCACACTCAGAATCAAGTCCAGAACCTGGGCATATGCCCTGTCCAGGAATTAAACACTGACCTCCTGGTTCAGAGGTCGGTGCTCAACCACTGAGCCTCGCCGGGGGTGCGAAAATAATGTTTTTATTGATTTTAGTGTGTGGAGGTGAGAGGGAGAAATAGAAACATCAATTGGCTGCCCCCTGCATGCTCTGTATTGGGGTTAATAAGTATGCAGTCTGGCCACATTCCCTTTTGGGGAATTGAACCAGCAAACCCCTGGTGGGTGGATCCATGCTTAACCACTGACCACATGGGCCCAGTCTACAAAAGAAGCTTTAAAACAAGTAATCCAATTGTATCAGCCCAGTTTTAAATTTATTGACTCTTACAATATTCTCATCCAAATGTTTTTTTCTGAAATATGATCTAGATATTTACTGTATAAAAATAATTACACTTGGAAACAGTATACAGAAGTACCATTAATGACTATAAGTGTTTTCATAACATCTATGATCCAACCTATTTCAGAGGTTTTAGGATATTTACATTCAAATATTGGATATCCAGATACGCTGCATTTCCCTTGAGAATGGTGAAAATGTCATTGTCATGCTATTAATAAATATTAAATTGTTAACAAAGTATTAATAATATGCTTCTGATTTTTACAGCAGTCATATGGTAGAGAGACCCTGTAAAAGGAAGGATGGTAGTCAATGCAGAGAAAACTTCAGCCAGATTCCAAATCATAATGAAAAGAAGGAAACTCCTACTGAAATAAAACAACCTAAATCCAGGTTGTGTAGGCAAATCTTCATGCATTATTTATCCTTGAATAACCACCTGAGCTGCTCTCACGGTCCCAAACTATACCTGTGTCAGGAATATGAAGAAAACGATTATAAATGTAAGGAACCTGAGAAAGCTTTCAAGCATCACCAACATATTCAAAGCCATGAAGGCAGACCTAGTGGGAAAGCTTTCCACTATTCAGCTTCCCTTAGAAATCATGAAAGAACACATATTCCTAGGAAACCGTATGAGTGTAAGCTATGTGGGAAAGGCTTTAGTCGTCTCAGTTGCTTTAAACTTCACGAAAACACTCATAGTGGAGAGAAACCATATCAAACTAAGCAATGTGGCAAAGCTTTCAGTTCTCCCAAGTACTCTGGAGAAAATGAAAGAACACATACTGCAGAAAAGCCCAATCAATGTAAGAAATCTGGTAAAGCTTTCAGTTCTACTTCTCTTAGAAACCATGAAAGAACACATACCGGCAAGAAACCTTATGAATGTAAGCAATGTGGGAAAGTCTTCAGTTTGCTCAGTTCTCTTAGAAATCATAAAAGAAGTCATGAAGAAAAGAAGCCTCATGAATGTAAGGAATGTGGTAAAGCATTCCGTCATTGCTGTTCCCTTCGAAAGCATGAAATAACTCATACTGGGGAAAAACCCTATGAATGTAAGCTTTGTGAAAAAGTTTTCTCTTCTTCAGTTGCCCGTCGACGTCATGAAAGAACTCATACTGGGGTAAAATGCTATGAATGTAAGCATTGTGGTAAAGGTTTCTATTATCAGTCTTCTCTCCTAGATCATGAAAGAACTCATACTAGGGAAAAACCCTATGAATGTAAGCTTTGTGGTAAAGTTTTCTCTCATTCAACTTCCCTCCAATATCATAAAAAAACTCATACTGGGGAAAAACCCTATGAATGTAAGCAATGTGGGAAAGCCTTCAGTTCTCCCAGCTCTCTTGGGAAACATAAAAAAAGTCATGATGGAAAGAAGCCTTATGAATGTAAGGAATGTGGTAAAACATTTCATCATCACTATTCCCTTAGAAATCATGAAAGAACTCATACTGGGATAAAACCCTATGAATGTAAGCAATGTGGGAAAGTCTTCACTTGGCTCAGCTCTCTTGGAAAACATAAAAGAAGTCATGCCAGGAAGAAGCCTCATGAATGTAAGGAATGTGGCAAAACTTTCCTTTATCCTGCTTTCCTTAGAATTCATGAAAGAGTGCATACTGGGGAAAAACCCTATGAATGTAGCCATTGTGGTAAAGCTTTCTCTTATCCAACTTCCCTCCGATGTCATGAAAGAACTCATAATAAGGAAAAACCCTATGAATGTAAGCTGTGAGGGAATGCCTTTATTCATCCCAGTTCCCTTCAAAATCACAAAAACTTAATAGTGGAGAGAAATCATTAGGAATGAAATAACTCACACTGAAAATAAGCTCTGTCATGTAAAGATTGTAGAAAAGCCTTTAACCATCCTAGTTTTGTTTTGTTTTTTAGTCCACACCTGAGGATATTTTTCCATTGAGATAGTGGAATTCAGAGAGAAAGAGCAATATTGATGTGAGAGAAACACATCGATTGGTTGCCTCCTGCATGCGACCAGACATGAAAACACACACAGTAGAGAAAAGCTCTGTAAATGTAAGGAATGTGGCAAAGCTTTCAGTTTCTGCAAGTCTCTTAGAAAGCATGGAAGAACACATAATAGGGGAAAACCTTAAGAATGTAAGGAATGTGGGAAAACCTTTCATTGGATGTCACACGTTTCAAGACATAGAAGAATTCATAATGGAAAGAAGCCTCATAAATAAGGAATGAAGTAAACCTTTTTGTTATCCTTCCTCTTAAATATCATGGAATGTATACTGGGAAGAAACCCTATGAATGAAAAAAATGTGGGATAACCTACAGTCATCTCAGATCCTTTCAAATTCACAAAAATTCTCATAGTGGAGAGAAACCATAGCAATGTAAGGAATGTGGTAAAGCCTTCAGGTTTCAACTAGTTTTTACAGACATGTGAAAACAAATGTATTGATAAACACTGTTAATGTAAAGAATAACAAAGAGCCTTCATTTATCTCTCAGCTTTGCCATCATGTATGATTATCCATATTGGGGATGGACCGTAGAAATGTAAGAGTTTTAGAAAGCATTCATTTCTTCCATTTTATTGTAAAGGATAACAGAACTCACTGAAGAGAAGACCTGTCATGTAAAGATTGTAGAAGAGCCTTTGGCCATCCTAGTTCTTTACAAAATCATGGAGGGACTCACACCCAAGAATAAGTATATGAACATGTGGAAGAGCCTTTCTTGGACATGTGAGAATGTACCTAGAGAAATAGTGAATACATATAGAGAAGGTGGGAAAGCCTTCAGCTGTCCCTTTTCCTCAGAAAGGTCATGAAAAAACTCAAAGTGTAAAAATGTATTGAATGTAAAAATGTAGGAAAACCTTCATGTTGACTCATATCCCTACAATACCATGTGAGAATGTACACTGTATAATTAACAACTAAAAAAAACTTAACAAAAACTTTTAACAAATACTTTCAGAGTAGCTAGAAAACTGCACTGGAAGGAAGTCCTATTAGTGTAACTAACTGGTACATGTAAGCCTGCTGCAAATTAAGTCATATACTCCCTCAAACTCACAGCATTAAAGAAGTCCTATAAGCTTTTGACATATTTAGTCATTATCAGTACTCATTCTTTTTTTATTAGTTTCTTTAAATTGATGCTTTAGAGTGAGGAAGCCAGAGAGAAGTAGAGGGAAACATCGATGTGAGAAACATTGATGGGTTGTCTTGCCAAGTCCCCTGACCAGTAATGTGCCCTGACAGGTATTGAATGAATAGGCCCTACACACATATGTATTCTTTTTTAATTTTCAATTGCACTTGAGATTCACTATTATTTGCCATATATTTTAACATAGTTACTGTTCACTGTAGAGTCCCCCTGTGTATTATTTTCATGTTTTGTGTGTGTGTGTTGCTTTTGGCTGTGAATTGTGCTATGAAGTTAATATTAGGAAGATAATATTTTAGTTTTTTTCCTCATCTTTACCCTGCCAGCCAAGAATATCCTCAAAACAGCCAGCCTCTGCTTTACTTCCATTGATGTTGGGTGTAAGCTTTATAGTTCTTCACAATTCCACATTAAAGATCCAGCATAGGATGGCTTTTCCTGCAAGCCCATAGGTGTCCACCGGGCAACAAATGCAGACTGCCATGGTTGAGGCTGTTTTCTGAAGGGTGCGCACTGTTCTCTAGATTGCATGTGCATGAGGTCTAATTTGACTAGAAATCATCTTGTCCTTTTGGTTCTACTACTGACTGTGATTCAGATGACACTGTGACAGCTGCCATGGTGCAGTGCCAAGGAGCCCCGTGACAGTTTGTTCTTGTACCACCCTCTGCAGTGAGGGCTCTGAGCCAGTCCTCCCATGTGAGAATCGGCACGTTCCTCATTGCAGGCAGACTCTGGATGTGTGGTGTCACTCAGAGGTGAGCCTAATTTCTCAACGTTTTCAGTTATCTTGTGTTGTATGTGATTAAAATTATGTGCATTTTTCCTAATAAATGCATTTTTAAAAATAATTTTCTTATTGATTTCAGAGAGGAAGGGAGAGAGAGAGAGAGAGATAGAAACATCAATGATAAGAATCATTCATCAGCTACCTCCCGTACGCTCTCTACTGGGGATTGAGCCTGGAACAGTGCATGTGCCCTTGACCAGAATCAACCTGGGATCTTTTAGTTCGCAGGCTTACGCTCTATCCACTGAGCAAAACTGTCTAGGGCAATGCTTATGTAATTTTTAATGAAATATTAACTGTTTCCCAACCACTCTTATGCTAAGAAATGTTATGGTGTTTTGTTATTTCCTGATGATGTATTTATTTAAAAATATATTTTATTGATATTTTACAGAGAGGAAGGGAGAGGGATAGAGAGTTAGAAACATCGATGAGAGAAACATCGATTCAGCTGCCTCCTGCACACCCCCACTGGGGATGTGCCCGCAACCCAGGTACATGCCCTTGACCGGAATCGAACCTGGGACCCTTCAGTCCGCAGGCCGACGCTCTATCCACTGAGCCAAACCGGTTAGGGCTCCTGATGATGTATTTAATTATCCCATAGTAATTATGTATTTTCAGATCAATTTGTCATTTTTTCCATCTAATCATTATACACTCTGAGTCACAAGTGTCGTGTGTACAATTAAGACATGGTTTCCTCAGGGAAATTATATTTTTTCTTATCTGTATACTTATAATGTTTGGACCAGACTAGTTTCTTATTTGTTCAAAGTATTAAAAACTTCAGTCATGTATTTTTAGTTCCTGCAGCTAAAGACCAACAAAATCACATCTGCAGTAAAAGAGAAATGAGATGGAATAAATTAAAATAAGCATGATCAGAAACCATAAACGCCTGAGATGTAACAGTAACAGCAGCCTTTAAAGGATTTCTTTTATTATTTTGCCTTGTGATAGACAATTTGATTTCCATTCAAGGAAGCAATACAAATTTCTGCATTGAATTCTGTGAGGGAATGAACTTCATTCTATCTTGTATAATGATAATGACTTTTCTTTAGAAGGCAGAAAAAATCATGCTAAATCAAAACTGTAGGAAGCAGAAATCATATTAGTGAGAAAAGCAATATTCGTTATGTTTATTCCTTTGAAACCTGTTCTCCTTGATCACATGTGCAGACATGAATGCCTTTGCTTTTGTCTTGAGTCATTGTGGTCATGGAGCAGCTCTGTGTGATGATGGACGTTTGACATTTTCTTTTTCCACAGGGAGTATAAGGCCAGCAACCAGTTGTCGAACAGCATTTGCCTTTTTTGTTACCTAAATACTGAAATACTTAATTTGCTGTATTGGGCACATTTCCAAAAAGTACCTCAATTAAGTATCTATATTACATATATATTAATTTAAAATCACGTACTTCCTAACAAGATATGTAACTTGTTAACTCCTTTATGGGTCAACTGAGGTTTATAAATCTGGGAATATTGTTAAAGAACACAAACCTAGCAAGAAAACAAAGTTAGGATCTCTCTTCCAAGAAGCCGTTCTTGCTGACAGAATTTGATTTTTTCCCCCAACCTTTAAAAAAAAGTTGATTTGAGAGACAGAAAGAGAAACATCAATCTGTTGTTCCAGTTATTTATGCAATCATTGGTTGATTCCTGTGTGTGACCTGTGAATGAACCCACAATCTTGGCACATTGGGACAACACTCTAATCAACTGAGTTGCCTGATCAAGGAGAAAGTATGATCATGGTGATAATGTCAACATCCTGCACATGCCAGGCAATTTACATGGAAAACATGTCCAATTTAGCACACCTGTCCAAGTCATGATATACAGGCATGAAAGAAAAAAGTTCTTGCATTGCTGGTGCTTATGTTTTTGTGGGAAAGGAGATAATCTTCTATACAGATAAAAGGGTAATATGCTAATTAGACCAGGAGACCTTCAGGACCAAGCCATGGTGGCAGGGTCAAGGCAGAGGCGGTTAGGGGAGATCAGGCCAGGAGGGAGGCAGGTTGGGGGTGA